AAGAAATAATTATGGAAACGTCTACTATCGTCACTTTCTCTAATAAATGTCGTGAAAAAGGAAAGCAAGTTATTAGACCAATTTCAACTATTCCAATTCTGATTACTCCTATGAAGCTGATGCGACCTACTACACTAAAAAATCACGACGATTATAACAATTACGATAATGATGACGAGAATGAAGATGACATGTTGATGGTTTTTGCAAGTAAGAAATATAATTAAAATGCAAAGGTTTAACATCTTTTTTTATTTGAAACTAATTTTTTATCATTTATTATTTATTAATATTCTACGATTTTATAAGAATTTATTAACAAATCAAGGTTCGAAGACTCTGAATATTTTAATGCTGCAGGCAGTATGTCATCATATGCACCCATGAAATGTAGTCTGCCTACCGAAGGAACCTGTATCACAGAACTGTTACAATTAACAGACAGTAAAGAAGAAACTGGTAAATACATAAAGGATACATGCTTTATGTATTATGCTTTATATTTATATAAAAATATTTGAAATAATTAGGTCATTATCACGATGAAAGAACAAAAATAACAAAAGCTAATAATAAATGAAAAAATTATGCTATTTATGAAGACCTTGACAATGATGAGCAAGTTACCGAACATTTGAGTAGTAAAACAGGTAATTATCATTATTATTGATTTTAAGTCCTTCAAATCACTTATTAAAGTATTTGATTGATTTTAGGGAAACCCGAAGCATTTAGAGAAATGACAAATGCTTTCGAAGTTTGCCAGTGGCTAATAATAAAAAGGCCAGACATATTTACAATGGTAAATCAGATGTATCATGCTTTTAATACATCATTAGATTCGTCTTTAGTCATAAATATGACCACTGTGATCTCACAAACTACGAAATCTGCATTACCGCAAGAAGAAAAAGCACTTGCTCGACTTTGGCATAAAGAAATAAAGTGTCTTTTTCTTAGGTGCAGAGTGCCACCAGATGAAGCTATTGAAAATCTTGTAAAAAAGATATTCAATTATGACCTCTGTAGTAACAATGCAGAAGAGGTCATTTGCCACTCTAAACGGGTTTTAACAGACTTCCGTAGTAAATTTAATAAAAAAATTGCTATGAAAGTTAATGAGTTAAAAGAAAGACGGTCAAGGGAAGGACTAAATATTATTATACCAATAAGGACAGAAATTGAAGAATTTATGTCCCAAGAGGTTATTGAGCAAATATTATACAGATATTTAACCGGAACTGACAGGACTAAGCTCAAAAAATGCGGTACTATGGAACGTCTCGTATTATTTGCTAAAGAGGCATTTATAGTGCATTATACTAAATACAATGTAAAGGCTATCAAGGAACTTGATAGTATTACAATTGGTTATAAAGTGCCAAGTAGATC